CTCTATCTATCTATCTATCTATCTATCTATCTATCTATCTATCTATCTATCTATCTATCTATCTATCTATCTATCTAGCTATCTATCTATCTTTTCCGACCGTTCCAAAACCTCACCACAACCTATCTAATTATTAGAGACAACAGTCAGGGTTAGCTGAAATAGAAACAATGTTAAAAGGGTGCAGGTTTCTACGGCTACATGGTGACGCTAGAATCTCCAATCACCCGCTGTGTTTCTAAAATTAGAAACCATGCAAAAGTATGGCATACCACTTTACCTCCTACAGCAATCTCAAGGTATCTGTTCATCTGTGAATTTCAACGTTAAACACCTTCATGAAACATCACCAACAAACGTACAAGAAATGGCACCATCAGTTATATATTGAAATGTCTGTAACATGATAATTCGCTAACGTGAAAATCAGAAACAATGGTGAGGCAGCGTGGTGGAATCAGGCTCTTTTCAATTTTGGGGCATGTAGAGTTATGGGTATCATCTTAAAGCTTGTTCACTTGTCTTTATTTGAATGAAAAAAATATCCATTTATCTTGAATACAAGTCGAGATATTTGCGAAAGACATAGGTGGGGATCACCTGTTTTCAGAGGTAAAATTAGTGAGAAAATGGCCGCCAAAGATTTGTTATTTCCTTAGCTTAAGAGTCCGTGGTAACCGAAAATTTACATTTTTGGGGCCTTTAATCAACGTTTTTCAGCAAAATCCACACAGAAATGAGTTTTTTATGGGTATGAAAGGTGTTGAGCCAAAAAACAAAAAATTTATAATAATTCACAAACCTGCGGAAAAAGGCACGTTTCTTCACTTTGATTATTTTGACGACAGCCTGATTCCATCGCGCTGCCTCACAATGCATATTATGTGTCACGACGCCTTGGAGTCTGGCGCTCATCAAGTTTGGCGCATATGGAGTTATAGGCATAATCGTAAAGTTTGTTTCTTTGCCTTTCTTTCAGTGAAAAAAACACCTGTCTATCTCGACTAAAACTCCAGATATTTGCGATTAATGGGTTTGAAAGTAGCCGGTTTTATTAGGTAAAATTTGCGAGAAAATGGCCGTCAAAGTTTAGAAACTTGTATAGATTGAGAATCTTTGAAAATTGAAAACATACATATTTTGTGCCATTAATCAAGGGTTTTCGGTAAAATGCACTTGTAAATGTATTTTTATATGGACATAAAAGGCGTTGAGCC